TGTTGCTGAACACAGTAACCAGTACAGTGGGCATGCAGTGTGTGTGTGCTAAGGGCATTGTTTCCAACAGGCACATTATGTGCTTTCCAGAAAAGAGGTTGCTGGCCCAGTTTCATCCTTCACTCAACACCTCCTCAGCTTCCCATTCCCACAAGCAGAGCCCCCAGTGCCTTGTACTCACTCTAGCATCTGCTCTGATGAATAGGAATGGAAAGGAAAGTTAACAGATTCCAAAAGAACTCAGGGCCGGGAATATAGCTCAGTGGCACAAGTGCTTGCCTGGCAAAAGAACTCATTTTATCACTTATTTCTAGTTCCAATTGAAATATCTTGCTGGAGGGAAAAAAAGAAATAAAGATTAAAACAAGTGTGGGCATTCTCAGCAGTGGAAGTGTCTGTGCAGCATGAGCCTTCACCTGCTGAGGCTGAGCGGAAGTTGGTACTTTCTGGGAAATTCAGAAGTGGATGTGTATCCAAAGCTGAGGGCTTATGTATGTTACACCTCTTCACAGTAATTCTCTAGGCCGAGCTTTTAGAACAGGCCATTTAGAGCAGCCGACTCCTGTCTTCTGACCTATAGTTTCTTCTGCTTTGGGCACTTGTGTGAAGCAAAAGGAAAGATCTAGGCTCTGAGAAGCTCACCCTATGGCTTGGTGTCAAGGGACAATTGCCTCTTTCTTTTTGAAAACTCAGCTGAGTCAAGTATAAGTTTTTCAAAGAAAAATTTCCTTTTCCTGCCACTTCATGGTAACCGAAGCACAATAAATTATTCCCTGTGTTATGTGACCTTAAATCTTGGGAAGGCCATAATTATAAGACATGCACTGTTTGTGAAGCATTTTCCCAAGACCCCATAAATGATTTTCTTCTTTAAGCCTTGTCCCATTTTTACGGATGAGAAAACTGAGCTCAAGTGAGGTGTACAAGGTAAGTCGTAGTCATAGATCTCCTATGTGACCAAACAAGGGTGTGTGTCAGGGTCCATGTGGCCTCTGGGCTGTTCTCTCATCCCACACCCTGGGCAGCAGTGGTGGCCTGTGAGTCATCAGTGTGAGACAGAGGCTCACCCTCCCTTCCTGAAGCTCTCCCTTGTAATTCAGCAAATAGAAGGCTCAAATTGCTCAAAGCTGCTGCTCAAATTGTCAACAGTTTGCTCATGGATGATTTTTAAAATAACGTAGCTATTTGTTTCCCAGCTCAAGCTTAGAAGGATTAAGTAGTTTATCCCAAATCCCATAGTTAGTAGACTCCTAAATCTTGGAAGATTAAAGCCAATCCTTGCTAACACTTCAAGCATGTGGGTTGAATGACTCTGTGACAATTAAGGGAAAATAATCTGTACTTTGTGTGCTGTTTGGAAGGGGTTGTTGTTTTAAAATCATAACAGTATTGATGATTTCACTTAAATGTGGAATCTAAAACAGTTGATCTCGTAGAACTAGAGACTAGAATCATGATTACCAGTGGCTAGGGCAACACAGTTACAGTTAGGGCAGCAAGTTCTGGTATGCTATGCACAGTAGGAGAAAAGTGCATTGTATAATTGAAAATCGTTAGAAGAGAGAATTGAGACTGTTTCTCCACAAAGAAATGCTAAATATTTGAGGTGATGAATATGCTTATTGCCCTGGCATCATGACATTATAAATATATTGAAATACCACACTGTATAGTTATGATGTGCCAATTAAGAATAAAATAAAACATAAAATTATAATATGATGCAGAATGTAAGAGAGAAGAAATTTTTACTAATTATACTCATCCTGGGCCTTTGTGCACTAAAGTGTAATGTGGTCTTTTTTGTATGTTGTTTTGTTTTGTGTTTTTGAAATGGTCTCATGTACTACAGGCTGGCCTTGAACTCACTATGTAGCCCAAGCTGCCGTCGAACTCATGGCGATCCTCCTGCCTTAACCTCCCAAATGCTGGTATTACAGGCATGCACACCCAGCCAATAATGTGCTTTTATTTTGTTCATCTCCTTTAGTAATTACCCATATTTATGCACAGATTTTATATAAATATAATCTCAACAAAGGCAGTGATATTTCATGGCAGTGACTTCATTTATCACGGTGGCATTTTTCAGTGCTGTTATATTTTCTTCATAACGTACATTATATTGATTAACTAGGGTTTTCTTAGCCTTTAGTTCATTTCTATGTTGTGTTCTCCTCACCCCCCATCTCTGCCCACCACCCTCCCTGACCTGTGATTTAGCACCATCTCTGGTTATGTTAAGGATAGCCATCTGAAATTGGCCCCAGATAAAATGGGACTGAAGCTACAAAATAGTGGCTTGGCTTTTTTAAGTTAAATCGTATTAGGGGAATGTCTTTCTTCCTTTCAAAACATGGAACACCCTCTCTTTTGTACCAGTGTGAGTTTTGCCAAGTAGTGAGATGTGACTGCGTAGCATACCTTCTTCGGCTGTTCACATTAGACAGTCAGCTGCCACTGTGCTCTGGTAACAGAGCTGTGCTAACTGATGTCCCTATGACTGAAAAAAGCAGTTTACTCTGGTTGCCTAGTCTACATCTCCATGGTGTACTTTGTGTATTAAGTGTGGGCTGACAGCACTTAAAAATAAATCAGCCAGGTAAAGGCAAACATTAATCCTTGCTCCAGGGCCTGTTCTTATTTTTGAAGTAAATGAACCTAGAGCAAAAACAATAGGATGTGCTAAAACTAAATCTCCTAATGAATTATGGGTCATACAAGTGTATTTTCTGAACAGGTGGGTGGACAGTGTATTGAGACCCACTGAATCATGGAGAATCAGGGTTTCTTCTCATCTTATATTCAACTGGCTAATAGACTCAAACTCCTCTGCTGATTTCTTCTTCTCTGCTCTTGTCAGAGCTGGTGTCATCTAATGATTTTGTCTTTCACACTCAAGAAATTGTCAATTACCTAAGTACTGTACAAGGGATCCAGGAAGATAAATGAGCTAGGGGCCTGGTGTCTTCCCTTGGGGGTTACAATCTAGTGGAGAGAAGGAAAGTTTGAAAGGTAACACTTCACATAGTACAAGAGTCCCATGGGGCAGGTGAAAGCTTATCAGAGAAAAGCTTCCAGTTAATGGAGTGGCAGAGGAGTTTCATGGAATGCATAGGTTGAGGTAAGCTTTCAAGTTTGGATCCACTTGAACAGCAATCAAAAATAGTTTATTGAGTTGAGAAGACAGTGATGTACGAGTGCCTGCTTTCCTAAACCTTGCATTCTAGTTTTAGGGAAGGCAGACAGTAAATGAGATCATTTTAAGGAGTAGCCCAGTGATGGTGAACCTATGATATGCATGCTGCAGCCAGCTGTTTGTTATCATTGAGAATGCTAAAAAGTTTACCATCGCTGAAGTAGGCAAAGCAGCTAATACATCAGGAGAGTTTTCCAACCCTAAGGAACAGCAAGTGTGGAGATCCTGAAGCAGCAGGAGCCAGAGACTAGGGATTAGAGAGAAGGCCTTGTCCTCCCAGGTCTTTATTCCAGCATCTCCTCAGCAGGGGCCTTTCAGCCCCCATATCAACTTTATTTTTCACATTAGTATTTATGACTTTGTATTTTATATTAATTTGTTTATTTTTGTTTGCTATTCCTACTAGAAAATAAACTCCAGAAGAATTGGGACTTTCTTTCATTTATTGTTGCATCACTGAAACCACACCAGACACACAGTGAATGCTTAATAAATGTTTGCATGGATGCACAAATCATTCGTGTGTTTGAGCACAGAAAGAAGGAAAGGAAGGATGCTAGTTTCAGGGGACAGCCACAACAGAAAGGAGGGTAGGCCGAGTGATAAGGAGGAAGTGGGAAAAGTCTCTGTGAGATGGTAGAAAGACTAGATGCTCAGGGGCAGAAGGTGTCATCTAGGAAACAAACCAAAGGGCACTCAGTGAAAGTTGGAGAGAATATTAGCCCTCACTGCACCTCATAAATCAATCCTTCTTCCTTTTGTTGAGGACTTACAATATTCTAAGTTGAGGACTTACAATATTCTAAGGCCCCCTGGCACTGAGGTAGGAGATTAGGGCATGGCAGGATGGCTGGAAAACAAGACATTACCTGAGCCAGATGGGAAGCCGAACAGGATGTGACCTGTCAATCACATCTGGGATTTATGAGCAGAGCAACCTCCAAGAGACCAGATCTGAGAGGTTATAAGAGACAGTGCCCACTGACTTTACCAGCACTGTAGTCTTCCTTTTCTGCTGTCTTCCTATTTCTGCAGTGGGCTGTACTGCAAGCAGGACATATCACTTTTCTTCACCCTTTACGTTTCCTCTTTTACTTTAAAATAAAAGTTGTGTTTACCTGTTCACTGGTTGCCCTGGCCGAATCTTTTAGTGGAACAAAAAAAGCCTATAACCACCAGATACTGCACCATCTGACAATAGCACCAGAGATATAAAGGAAGAATAAAGATACAGTGTGGTATTTAATTTTGAAAGGAACAACTCCTCTTTAAGATTTGAAAGGAGAAAGCTGTAGGTGTAGCTCAATGGTAGAGCACTTACCTAGCCTGCCGAGACCCTGGGTTCCATCCCTAGCGTCTCACACACACACACACACACACACAGAGTTTTCAAAGGCAAGAATCAAATAAAAACATAGAACACTGAATTATTTAGACATGAACATTTATGTGTGCTCCTAGCTTTTCTCTGTTGCTCATAGCATTAACATTGATTTCTGGTAATTTGCTTAAAGATTAGAGTTCTGGGAATTATGTTTGAATCACTAATGTAGATTGATGTGTATATATTTATATAACTAACACAATTAAATAATTATTATAAAGGATTAATGTAGTGATTGATAAATGAGCTCCATGTAAACATACAGAAGTTGATTCATAAGCATTTAATGAAAAGACTACATAAAGATCGTAGAAATCCTCATGCTTATCCTGGAAAGAATGTATTTGCCCATGTCTCTGCCTCTTTGCACTTGGCAAGAAGACAGAGCATTTCATTTTCTCATGTTTTTCTCCTCAGGAATAATTCCAGCTAATGGGAAGATGGATGTGACTATAAAGTTCACACCCTTTCAGTATGGCACTGCACAAATAAAAATGCAGTTATGGATTTCACAGTTCAACTCTCAGCCACTTGAATGTGTCTTCACCGGAACATGCTATCCTAACCTGGCCTTACCGTATGGCTTCTTTGGAATTTTTGTTTATTCTTAAGTTTTTTCAAGAATTCACATCTTCTGTAGCTCTTTCTTGTAACAAAATGACATCCAAAGCTTGTCCTAAATGATTAGCCAATGCAAAGTCTGCTTTAAAGTATAACACTGGTGCATCGAATGCCCTATGCTGGTAGGAGAATTGCTTTTGCCAAGAGGGGGAGAAATGACTGAGGAAAGGGATTTGGCAGCTGGGGATGTTGCTGGTAGAGCACTGGCCTAGCATGCACAAGGCACTGGATTTCACTAAGTGGGGAGCAATTTTAAATTTTTGAGGCAAACTTTCTTCCACTGATTACCGCTGGTGTGCTGTTTGAGTTTTTAACCATATGCATATGGTACTGCCAATTAAATCAGACAAGGCCAGAATCACTCACCTATTTTTAAAGTTCCCATATGATGTTGCAATTAACTGAGTGCCTGCTTTGTGCAGCATCTGTTGCAAAGTCCTGTGGGGAAAGGCCCACTCCCTGAAGATGACAAAGTAAGTCAGCTACAGCAAGTGATGTCACTCAAGGCAGAGAGAGAAACATGCCACACAGGGGCTGTTTTTGAAAGAGCGGAGATGGGTAATGGGTAATGCGTTTTACCTCATAACAAACCCTGAACTTTTGTTTCCGTTTGAGTATGAGCTCGCACTTTTACATCCCAGTCATTCTGGCTAATGTTATATGTCTTTTCCAATATGCATGATTTCGGTGAAATAAATATAAAGCAAAAGTAGCAACAATATAAATACTAATCTAGGAAGATACTGACAATTATTTTCCAAAGATAAATATTTTGACTTTTTTCCTTCTTCCCTTCACACATGAATGCATATCACATATTAACATCATTAAGCACATTAAAAGTGGAGAAACAACCTTAGCCTTTAAATGAACAAAAGCCATGGCTTATAATACATTTTTACCAAGATTTTCTTCCTAAAACTTCAAAATAGCCTCAGTCAATTAGCGGATATTAGTGTGGGCTATTAAACTCAAATCTATCAAGTAACCATTGTAGAAGTAAAATCACTTAGGCAGTAAATCGATAGAATTAATATAAACAAAGAACAGTGTTAATTTTTCTAATGTCAGATCACTAGGCAAACAGGACGCCACTTGCTGTCTTGTGTTAAGTGTTGTCACATTCAAGTGAATTTTTCAAAGACATCACTCATTTGAGGTTGTATTTTTCTCTCCCCCCATAGATGTTATTTTTTATTTTACTTTTATTTATGGATGCTGAGGACAGAAGCCAGAGCCTCATGAATGCTAAACGCTCACCCTACCACTGAACCACATGCCCATCCCAGATGTGTTCGTAAACACATGAGAGCACCATATGGTAGAAAACTCTCCCAAATGTAGGCATACACTATTTCTAAGCTAGGATGTTTTGGTTTCCTAGCTAGGGTTTAATATTTTGATGTTTCAAGGAGTGTATCTCAACACTTGCATGTCTCCCCAAACTCCAAATAAAACTATAACATACAAAATTCACCATGAAGGGAAAGTAATTATGCTGGCTGACATTTTCATGCACTGCCTTCTTTGTTTCAGTATAGGATGGGTACTAGACTTACACAAGTCCTAAATTTGGCACTGCCAAATTCCATGTGTAATCTTTGGTTTCTATGTTCTTAGATATTTTTATTTCCTTCCTCAACACTAGCAACTGAAGATGTTTAGGGAGATGTTTTCTGATCTCGTCTGAAAGGCTTTGTTGTTCCCTAATATTTACAGCAGGGGTGCTACCAAAGCACTGCTGAAAAGTGGATGCTGAACCACATCTCGCTCCCTAGCTATGTCCTCATCCCTGCACCCTGTAGCACATCAGTCAATGCGTGTCTCATCAAGGTGCACAGCTTCCCGTGCCATGCATGCCCTTGAAGAGCAGGCTGTTAGATATGTGAGATAGTTAGAACATGTTCTAGCTGTTCTAACTGTTCTACGTGAGATAGTTAGAACATGTTCCATGTAATGTAACCAGGCCTGTTCAGTGGGTAGCTAGCCAGTGCACACTGACTGTCCAAATGAATGCGTGTTAGTATTATGTGCTCTTCTTACTTCTGTAATGTTACAAGGGTTCATCCTGGAAAACAAGCACATATGCATTCTTATTTAAAGAATGCTTCATGGATAGTTCTCCTCAATACAAAATAGTTCTACATCTCTTATAGGTTATTAGCTGCTACCTGTGTCTCTAGGCAGTTTTCATTCATAGAAAAGATTCCTTATTGGCTTAAATCTCTATTTTGAAAGATCAGGCTACTAAAATGAGCACAATCAATCTTTTATAAGAAAAATCAATCAAAGTAAGATTTTTATTCAATATAGCTGTTGAAAACCAATAATCTAGAAATGAATTATGCTAGACCAGGAGAGCCTTTTTTCAGCATGTCATGCTTTCTATTCATGTTTTCCATTCTTAAAGAATGCAATGAAAACAACCATCAGGGGGTTATTTTGATGTACATGAATGAATACACACTAATATATTGACATTGCATCTATTTTAATATACCACTATTTTGGCATACAGATTTATTTTCAGTTTAGATATAATAACAGACTGCAAGTTGTAGTATCATCAGAAAGAACATACAAATAGGAACTTTGAGTTACTGTCTCTTGTATACTAATTTAGTATCTGTTTTAAACTATAGATTAGAAGAATTTCAAAGATTAAATACTCTTTCTAAGAAAGTAAATGTTCCTCCAGAAAAAGCAATGAGACATATACATTTTCACCAACTACCAGCAAAGAGAGAACCTCCAAAGATGAAGGTAAAGTGGGCAGTCCTCAGTGTGACGGGGGGCACAGTGCAGTGCCAGAGAACTGATTCTCCTACTGCTTTGGTTTCTCAGGAAATTGAGTACCAGAATCTGAGATTTCCAGTAGATTTATCAAATCCATTTGCTGTGGCAACTGTTTTAAACCAAGTACCAGGAAAATTGAGGATTAAGGAATTAAGAGAAGGTAACCAGTTGACCCACCATGAATCAGTCCCTGGGTAGAACATGAAAGAATTGTTCCCTTTCACCTTTATTATTTATGAGCAGTACTTGTGAAAACTCAGTGAGATTGCTGTTATGTCTCATCACCAGAAATGTGTTTTTGTCTCCGCAACTGGTTCTGCTTTGATTACGGCGGTAATCATTGTTTGCTCTGCCTTTAGTTTTGGACCAACGCACTGAGACATTAAAAACAAGACAGATGAAGGAGGCGCTCTTTGAACAGAAAGTCAGACAAGACACTTATGAAGAGATGGAAAATCACCTTAAATGGTAAATATTGAGCAACTACTTGTATGGAGTAGCAGTACGATTGTTTTTAAAGGATTATCTTTTATATATGAAAAGTAATGAATTTTTACACCCTTTGGCAAATTTGATCACTGTTTCCCTTCCACTGGTCTTTCTATTTCAGAACAAGTTTTTGAATTTATTAGGAATACATTAACGTGACCAAGCCGTGTTGCTCCCTAAGTGTGACGTGACAGTGGAGGACTGGAGTGAATTTGAGAGAGGCTGGGACCCTGATCCCCGCCAACCACCATAGCCAGAAGTACCCCTAACACACACTCAAGGGCAGAGCTATGGTGCTCAGCCCTCCACATTTCACCTCATCACTTCTCACCCCCGTCATGAGCCCCTGTGTTGTATGCCCCAGGGGGACTTTATGGGGAACCCAGCTGTTGGGAATAGGGAATCTGGTGGTTAAGACTCGGATACAACAATTCTTATGCTTCTGTGATCAAAGTGGAATATTTTCCATACTTTTAAAAAATTGGTAATACAGCCCATTAATTGTCACTGTCCACTCCTTAATCCCTAGCAATCACTCATTCTTTGCTGTCTATGGAGTGCCTGTCCTGGATGTTTCCTACACCTGGAATCATATAATCTGTGGTTCTGTGGCTGGTTTCTGTCACTTAACAAAGTTTCAATGTCCATCCACATCATAGCATGTATTAGTACTTCATTTCTATTCATGGTTGAATAATGTTCCTTTGTATGGGTATTTCACACTTCATTTTATTCATGTGTCAGTTAATGGACATTTCAGTGGTTTCCAGTTTTGTGAGTAAAGCTGCTATGAACAGTTATATTCAAGTTTTTGTGTGAACGTATTTCAGTTCTCTTGGATTAGAATGTCTGTCCATGGTCATTTTTTGAGGAGCCACCACAGTGTTTCCCATGGTTACTGCCCCATTTTACATTCTTACCAGCAACATATGAGGATTCTAGTTTCTCAACAATACCTGTTGTCTTGGTTACTTTTCCCTCATTGCTGGGACAAAGTACTTGACAGCCAAAATTAAGGAAGGAAAGGTTTATTTCACTTACAGTTTGTAGAGTTTTCAGTCCATACTTGGCAGGTTACAAAGCAGAGTGGCACATGGCAGAGGGCTACAGCTCATGGTGGCAGAACACAGTGAAAAAACAAAAAGAAAAAAGCCAGGAATCGCCGCAAGCAGCCTCTTCCTCTCCCCTTACATATGCAAACTATCCACCTCAGGGTGGGTGTAGCTCTCACACCCATAATCAATCAAGCTCTAAAAACCTGCCCCATGACCACCTGAGGCTTTGGGGGGACACCCAGACACAAACCATAACACCTGTTGTTTTCCATTCTTTTAAAAGTGCCATTATTATTGCAGCCATCCCAGTGGATGTGTGGTGGTTTATCCTGTGGCTCTGATTTGCATTCCCTTCATGACTAATGATGTTGCGCATCCAGATTTTTATTCATAAATATTTTGGCATGTGTTGTAGAAGGTGAGCTTCACTTTCTGGGGTCTATTATTCATCTTAATGATGTTGCTAGGGGCCTCTACAACTCTCTCCCTGAAGTTGCTTCCTCCAGAGCCTTAACATCCTGTTTTTGTTGCAGAATATAGCAAATACACTCTGTCCTATAGCTGATTATGTTTTCTGATGGGTTCTGGAAGTTGGCTTTGTTCTCCCCAGGCAGGTGCACCTTGGGAAGGATCATATGTCTTTTAAATTGAGAAAGGAGCTTACTGAGGAGCAGCAAAGGATATACACCAACTATAAGGTCAGAACGATTGCTAATTGGATATTTCCTTTTGTGTGCAAGATGCCAATCAGGAGAAAGAAAATGTATAGTAACACTGGGAGGGGAGGAGGCTGGTGATGAGAAAATTGTTAACTATAAACCCAGGGTATTACAGGAGATCTATGCTGTGCATTGTGAGGGATTCAGAAGCCAGAGAAAAGAGGGAACTCAGGGCACAATTTTGAAAATTAGTAGGAGGACAAAGTCAGTCATATGGAGAGATTGACTCAAATTTGGGCCGTAACTCTGGTTGTGAGGTATACCTGTCCCATGTTCTGCAGAGCACAGAGACCGTAAGGCCCAGAGATGTGCCTGGGAACCACATCAGAGCCAGTCCCAAGTCAAAGATATTCAAAGGGGCTTAGCAGAGAAGGGCAGCTTGGCTGAGGGGAGTAGGGCCACACCAGGGACACCAGGGCTGCGTCTGTGAGCTCAGGGACAGAAGATGTTGGACTGCACAATACCTGTGGCCTTACCATGCACCGTGGTGTGGAAATGGTTAGGATAGCAGGGCAGGTGCAGAGAAGACGAGGGACTTGTCCATCGGGGCAGAAGCACAGGGCATATGTGAATGAGAATAGATAGGCCTCAGTCAAGACACCACATATGAGGGGTTTGGACTTAATGGTTGGACTCATAGAATAATCCAGACTGTAATAGCCTGCTCAGGCTGCAGTGAGAATGTTCCACAAACTGGGCGCTTAGACAACAGAAGGCCACTTTAGGGTTCGGGAGTCAGTAGGCGGGTTTCTTCTGAGTCCTCTCTGTTGGCTCACAGATGGTCATCTTCTCCACGTGTCTGTGTCTTAAGCTCTCCTTGCACGGACACCAGTCACACGACCTCATTTTAACCTGACCACCTCTTTAAAGACCCTACCTCCAAATACAGTCACATGCCAAGGTCCAGGGGGTTAGAGTATCAATATATGAGTTGTGGAGACACAATTCACCCCCTAACTGACCTTGAAGCTTAGCAGTGTGAGTCTGAGAGACTCAGTCAATATCATGACAAGGTGGGATTGGGGAACACATGTGTCTTGTTGGATATCTCATTTTTCTTCTTCCACTTGGAGCCCAAACCAGCTGTTTGGATAAATTCATCATATTTTTGTTTATTTTTCATAAGACAAACAGAAGAATACAAAATTATTACATTGATAGATCTTCACATTTAGGAAAGACAAGGATTGTTTTTTTTTTTTTTTGGTTTTTCTCCGGTACCGGGAACTGAACTCACGACTTTGCGCTTGCCAGGCAGGCGCTTTGCCGCTGAGCTAAATCCCCAGCCCCAAGGATTGTTATTTAAATGTAGCTCTATTTGGTTAGATTCTTTGCAGGCTATTTTAAAAACAAAATATCAAGTATTTTCTGTCAACCCCACAATGGAATGCTATTTTTAAACTCTAATGAAAAGAAGATGATACAGACATGCCACAGCCAGGTCACTGTGCGCACTAAGGCTATGATGGCCAGTGTGTACAGGAAAGGAGTGGTGAGGTCCTTAGCATCACTTATTGGGACAAGCAGAAGGATGAGCAGGCCGTCCAGGCATCCTGGAGCCTGGGAGACTAAGTGTGCTGGGTGCTTATGCTGTGTGTTCAAGGAATTTTGTCCAGCAGAAGGGCCCTGGCAGGTGACCTGGTGACAGGAACATGTGGAAGCTGAAGTATATTGCAGAAAACTGAGAAAAAGCGGTCTTGGATGAGGAGTTAGTATAGCAGCTGGGTGGCACAGACCCTGAAGGGTGGTGGATGAGCTTATACTCGGGGGAGACAGTGGATAATGTTAATTATAAATAAGTAGAGTCTCTATGGAGATACGATAAATATTCCTTTTCTTTATTCTGGCCAACAGTCTTTTGGCAATCCTTCCTTTAAATTGCCTATTTTATTGTATTTTTGGTGGTGGTTGTGAGGAGTCTGGATCTTTTTCCCATGAAATCTGAACTGTGAACTTGAGTTCTCAAACTCAATATGAATGTGACCTAGACAGCTTACCCCCCGCCCCCCCCCCCCCGCCGCTGGACAATAATTCTTATTTCTGAATAGGATGTTAATGTGATCAGAATCAATTTCTTCTAATTAAGTCTTTAAAAATGTCTGTGAACAGGATACTCAGGAGCCATGCTAGTTTTCAAAGTTACTCAACAAATTAAGAACAGAACCCACAGATAGTCAAAATCTAATATGATCTGCAGCATGCCCGGTCCCTTTTCTCATTGGGCTGTATACTTAGAGCTTGGTACAGATCTTCTAACTCATCCCTGGAGTCACCTGTGGCTCCCGGGAGAAGGAAGAGAGCTCAGGGACCATCGGCCCACCAGACCTTGGGGTATGGGAGAAGCTACTTGGGGATTCACTTCAGGGAAGGCTGTGGTCACTCTCTAGACTAGAAAGATCCACTGACCTCTACTACCAAGGAAAGAGGAGGAATCACCACATGCCTTTGTTAAAACCTGACATTTGGAGAACTCTGAGGGGCTTATAAATTCACTGGGACATTACAGTTCTTCTCAATGAAATCTATAATGCACATACTCCCATAGTTATGTAACTTCATGAAATCTTTCCTGTGAAGTGATTTCCAGAGATACTACCCTCTGGAGATATATAGCTTTCTGGATACACACACACACACACACACACACACACACACACACACATTTTTTTAAAGGGCTGAATCCTTGCTTCTTTAAAAACTCCCTATATCTTAACAGGGAATGTGATTATTAACAGTAAATGACCTCCTTGTGTCTTTACCACTCTTATCTAGGGCTCCATGAGTAGGTTTGACCAGTTGCTCAATGGGTTCCTACCAGTTTTAAAGTGAAATAAAGTTGTTTGCTGTTGTTTTCAACTTTACTATTTTTGATGATTAAAAACCCAGCGAGATAGAGGAGATCCTGTTTCGGAAGAGGAATTTCAGCGACTCAAGACAGAAGTTAACCATAAACGGGTTGTTCGCAGTCTAGAAGAGGTGAGTGACTTTGCTTTGTTTGGAATCTAATTATTGACTGTTCTTTAAATGCTTATTTTTGAACATGTTAAGCAATGTTATAGGTCTTCCTTTACCAAGAGATGTCTCATCATGCTTCTGACTTCTGGGAGGTTTTCTTTACTATGCGTTCTCTTCTCCAGTGATGCATCACAACTTATAATTAATCCTCCCCTTGAAACTGGCAGCATCAGTGGGCTCCTCCTCTCTGCACCTCTGCTTCCGCTTTCTTGCTCTCCTTTCTTGCTTCCCTTTCCTTCCATGCCTGCCTGCAGGTCCCCAATGTGGGCCCCTCACCTCTGCCCACCCTCTCACATCCCTTGGAAAGAACACAAGATCCCAAGACAGAAGCCACAGCTCAGCTCCAGCTCTGTGACAGATGCGAGACTCAGGACAAGCCTCTTAGCCATGTCCTCAAGTGTAAAATTTCAATAGCAGCCCTTTTCACAGATGTTCTGTCACGTGACTGTTGTGGCCAAAACTCCAACTTTTAACTATAACAATGAAGATAGTTCTTCCTAACCTCCCCCATCTCTGTCACTCTTACTTTGGGGTTTGCTGCACCTGAATTCTCACCTCTTTCTTCTCCCTCTCATTGGATCTGACCACAAAGTCTTATGTGTAGCTCTCCAACAATGCCATCACCAAGTCCTACCTTCACGTCCCACCTTTGCCTACCGCAGAGAGTCTGTATTCACATTTCTGCTCCTCCTCCCACTCCCTACAGCCCACCACAGAGGCCGGTGTGTGAATGACTCAGTGCTTGTAACTTCCATCATGCTGTTTCCCTGCCCAAGAACCTGCAGATCCGGAGGCTGTAATGGGCTCACTCTGCCTGGCACCATCCATACTCAGGTGTCCCCTGGCCCAGCCACACTGGGACCCCCACATGTCGGCAGTGCTGGCACTGGGCGCACAGGGCCAAGGGGAGCAGCCTCCTTCCCAGCTGGGATCTCAGTCTACTTCCCTCACCTCCAGAGGCAGTGCTGACCCCTACCCATTAACTGATCTCCATGTGACTTTATTCTTCCTGGGGTCACACAGGTTTGCCTGAGCTGCCCTAACTGGACTGTAAGTTTCTTAAAACTGGAATCTTCTGCTCTTGGTCTGCAGCTTCAGAAACATTCCTCATAATACTATGTACACTAAAAGCGCTTAGTAAATGCTCACTAAATGGCAGAATAGATTAATAATAACTTGGTTTGGGATCAAACTGTAAAATGTCTGTATTAAATGCTTATGCCAGGAGCTAAATTTAACTTTAAAATGTGTCTATGTTTTGTATCTGCAGAATATCATAGACTTGAAGCCTAATTTTGATCCACTTGTTAATAATAATTGGATCAACAGGTTCAGGACACAAAGACGATTTCAACAAGCAGCATGCAGGGTAAGTGCCTTGGAAGTGAGTTCCGGTGGAATTTTTTAGTCATTCAGCACAAGGAAATTAAATGCTGAAGTTTTTTTAAAAATAACATGTTGAGCCAGGGATATAGCTCAGTGGTACAGAGCCTGCCTGGCAAGTGCAAGGTCCTGAGTTTGATTCCCAGTACCAAATAAATAAATAAATAAACAAACATATTTATGAAGACACAATTTACCTCCCATAAAAATCACCTTTGTAAAGTACCCAACTGAGTAGGTTTTAGTATGTTCCCAGAGTCTGGCAGCCATCATCACTGTAGCATTAAGACATTTGTATCACCTCCAAAAGGAACTCAGGACCCCACTACCAGTTACTCCTCATTCCCTCTTTCCCCAGCCCTTGGCAACCACAAATCTGCTTTCCACCCTTATGGATTTGCCTTTAGGAACATTTCATATAAATAGAATCACAAAAATGCACATCTTTTATAACTGGCTTCTTTCACTTAACATGTTTTCAAGTTCATTAGTGTTGCAGAATATATCAATACATCATTCCTTTCTATGGTTATATAATATTCCATTCTTTGCATAGATTACATTTTCTTTATCTGTTCACCCATTGATGGAGATCCCAGTTATTTTCAGCTTCATTCTGTGATGAGAAATGCTGCTGTGAACATTCGTATACAAGTTAATGGTAGCACGCTTTTAATTTTTTTGGGTACACATATGTAGGGGTGAAACCGCCACAGTGTATGATAACTCTGAAATGTGGGATTTGGGTCAGTTGTTTGCAGAGAGAACAGCTGAGAATTCCAGTGGGATCTTGCCCCTGATGTAAGATTTACAGCTTCCCCTTCAAAGAGATTGTGTCTCTCCCATGGCTTCACCCTCACTTGAGTCTCACATTGACCACATCTCTGAGGCTTCCCACAGTCAGGACAAAGTGAAGACTTCTGACTCTCTAGTACCAGTGAAGGGGGAAGAGGGCCTTCTGTCTAGCTGTAGCCACACCTTCCAGCTGCCTACCATCCTTCATCTTGTCCCTGCTGCCCTCACCTTCTTCCAGACACACCATGCTTATTCCCCACTAGGAGCTTGTGTTTCCACTCCTTACCCTTCAGCTAAAATGCCCCTCTCTCTACTCTGTGCATCCGTTCTTGTCTTCTAGGCCAGCTCAAATCTGCCTTTCTGCCAAGAGACAATCTTTGCAAGCAGGCTTTCTTTGGTGCTGTTAGGTTCTAATGCTACTTGTCTATTTCTCATCCCTCAAATGTGACTTCCCTGGGGGGCAGGGCTGCACCTCAAGCAAGAGAAGGCAGTGGTTAAGATCCAATGTGTTAGTCATCTTTCTGTTGCTGTGACAAGATACCTGAGATAATCAACTAATAAGGAAAAAAGGTTAGTTTTGGCTTATAGTTTCAGAGGTTTCAGTCCATAGTCAGTTTGGTTTGTGGTTTTGGGCCTGTGGTGAGGAAGAACATCATGGCGAGGACTGTGTGGTGGAGCAAGCTGCTCACCTCATTGTGGCTGGGAAGCAAAGACAGAGAATGGAAGGAGTGGGGCTCCAGTATCCTCTTCAAGGACACGCCCCTGATAACCTCACTTCCTCCCATTAGACCTCACCTACTAGCAGTTTCACTACCTCCCAGTAGTCTCACAGGTTGGCAACCAAGCTGCCAGCATACGGGCCTTTAAGGCTGTTCCAGACTCAAACTATGACCTCTGGGCTTTGGGGACTGACTACCTGTTCTTAATTCTTTGTGCTCCTTATAAGCTTCTGATCTTGGACAAGTGACATAACCTCTGTGCCTTGGTTTCCCCATCTGAACTCTAAAGATAAAGCTTAAACCTGTCTTAGACCCATTATAGGGTCGCTGTGAAGATTAAATGGGTGAGGGTATATAAGGCACTCCAGTGGTGTGGGTTGCAAGTTGTCTTTCAGGCAGCTTTCTCAGGCTGCATATGCCAGTGTCACTATGTCAGTAAGCTTCCCGCCAACCTCCAAATGTGTGCAGATACTGTCACTGAGCTCCCTGTTCACAGTATCTCTGCAGAGTAGGAGTAGCCACAGGATGCTTGGGGAGGACAGAAAGTGGTTGAAAGAAGTAGCACAAAGCTGTGCTCTAAGGGGAAAGACACGGCTGTTGATCATGTGCTAATACCAAGAGCCTGTGCTGCTGGTGGAACCACTTTATTTTCTCAGAGAGCCCTCCAACCTGAAAAAAATGTTACCCAAAGTTCTGTGCATTGTTCTGAGTGATGCCCCAGTCTCTCTCACATGCCACGGCAGTCCGATCAGTTGTGTGTGCTAGTCTGTCCCCAGCCTAATAATTCCCTTCTATCTGTCCAGCTACAGCCACAGCCCAGCATCTCTCACCTGGATTACAGCCGTCGGTTCCCAAACAACAGCCCGAGGAGGATTTACAAAGTGTAGAAATGACTATACCTTTTCCCAGCTAAGACCTTTCAAAAGCTTACCGTCACAATTAGAATAAAATGCAGTTTTTAGCATGATGCCAAGGCCACATTGAACTCTTCTCTTCCCTTGAACATTTTTTTCTTTGTTCCTAGATCAGGATCTTCATACTGGTGGGTTCCTGCACTTAGAACTCTTTTTCTAAGATCTTTCCATCATCATCCTTCCCCTTGTCTCTCCAGGCTGCCATCAAGTGTCCTCAGACAGGCCTTCCATCCTCTTCCCTGCCTTCGTGGGCAGACCCTCCACCTCCAACTCCTCAGCCAGCTATGCCCTCATTGATTTTCATGTGGTATTTACCACATTTATTCATGTAAGGGTTCACTGTCACCCTTTTCTACCCACCACACACAGGCAGGATATTTCTTTGCACCTCACTGTCTCTCCTGTGACTTGCGCAGAGATGGGCACAAACTAGCCCCTTAATGTGCTAGATGAAAGAGTTCTTTTTTTTTGTTTGTTTTGGTTTTGGTTTTGCTTTTTCTCCGGTACCGGGAACCGAACTCATGACCTTGCACTTGCCAGGCAGGCACTTTTGCCGCTGAGCTAAATCCCCAGCCCCAAAAGAGTTCTATAGAGAAGAGAAAGGAGTGCTCATTGGGGAAGGGATGAGCTTTCCCAGCACAGCTCTGTGCACAGCAGTGCTCACCTGCACAGCAAAGCTCTGTATACAAATCACAGTGGTGTGAATCAGTGCAGTGCTTGGGCCCCAGCCGTATCTCTGTAGAATTACCTATGTAGTTTGTCGCCTAATCGAGAGACTAGCACAGTGGAAGCATTACTATTCAGATGTATGCAAAACCAAGAAGGTAGAACTACTCATTCTTTCCACTCTTGAAATAAGAGAACCCTGGGCTTGAATGTTGTGTAGGACAAGGATAGAAGATATGCTGAAGTCCCTATGACCATGGTCTTGGGCAGCACACCTCTTAAATTCTTGCATTCTTTCTTAGAGTGGTGGTCTCAGCTCTTAGTTGTGATTGGCAAAAATGAATGAGATTGAATACAAATGAGCATGTATCAATTAGTAATTTGAAATCATTATTCTTTCCAATTCCAGATCATGCTTCAGCGACGGTTACTCAAAACACTAACTGCTATCCGTAAAATAGACAAAGAGAGTATGCTACGCAAGTTCTATCAAGTAAAGCAATCGTTAGTGCAAGGTAAGGTATAGCAGAGGCCCTGAATCCCTTACAGCATGAGTTTTCTTTATAATGAAGTTTGCTATGGAGACATAAAATATTTGCATAAATCACGTGTTAGTTTCCTGTTACTGCTATAACAAACTGCCACAGATTTAGTGACCTAAAACAACACAGGTTTAGTTGTCACGGTTCTAGAGGTCAAAGGTCTAAAACCATGGTGTCAGAAGGCCGCTTCCTTCTAGAGGCCTCAGAGGATGTGTTTTCTCTCTCTGTCCAGTTTCTAAAAGCCTCCTGCATTCCTCAGGGCCCTTCCTCACCTCACTTTAGTGTCCCGTTTCTGTCATCCATCACCTTTTCTGATTTACCCTTGTGTTTCCCTCTTATATAAAACCTAGGATTTCATCAGGCTCACCTGGATAACTGAGGATAATCTGTCCAACTCAGCTTGCTTAACTTAGTCACTCACACCATCAAAGTCCCTTTCACCATACAAATAACAGATTTAGAAGTTCTGAGGAATAGGATATGGATATCTCTGGGTGCCCTGACCCTACCTGTCATATGACATGAATCAGATCTCCATGCCAGATTTGGCCACAACACTTGCCCAGCTAACAATACACAAGGTCAACAGACACCCAGACCAAGTTGTACACTTGGTAAAATTTGGCCATGGTTTAACTTCTTGTTTGGGGCCCTTATGCCTCTTGCCGTCAGAGATACTAGGCAAGTCGTGATTTATATTTCGGATATACTGATAGAATCTGGTGATTTCTCCATCTGTACCTGGTACACAAAGTTTTAAATCCCTTACTATTTTTGCTGTTTGAAATTTCAATCCTCTAAACCCCAGGTTGGCTGGGACTGTTGGAGGCCCACTCCCAGGGGGAGCCCAAGAGCCATGTCACCATTTTCTTCCAGCCTTTGTATTTCCAATCCAGGGCTCATATGCAAAGCCACAGCAGGCCCTGCTTCTCCTGGGACCTTCCTCCCTCCATGGCCTGAGCCCTGAGATGCTCAGATTCCCCTGTCCTCCCTGAGCAGCATCCCTTCCTCTACCAATGTCCAGCTGTGTCTTTTGTTTCCCAAAACATTTCTTAGCATTTTATTTATTCCTTATGTTATGGCAGAAATTCCCCTGGCACAAATTGGGTTCTGTTCCACAGCAGAATCAAGTCTACTGAGAACAAAACTAGAGTTTAATTTGAGGTTAGCCACCCTCACTTCCCTTGCCAATCTGGAAGCGGGCAATGGCCAACTTTGTTTTACCTTATATACATTTTGGTTTCCATTGGTGACAGATTGGGATGTTACATTCGCTGACCCCGGTGGTCATATGGTGTTTCTCTTAGCCTTCTCTGTTGGACCCCAGGTCAGTTGCAGGTCACATGTCTAACCATGATAGATGTTTCCCCCGTTATATTCCATTTGTCTCCTTTTTTACAACCTATGCATTCCTTTAAGGTTACAATGCTTACCTAGGGCCAGGAGATGGAACTGCCCAGGCAGGGTCACAGAGGGTTACCTAGGCCTAGGCACCCCCTTATCTTGGGGAGACATTCCTGGGCAGTGTTGATCTGGGGAATTAGCTCTTACACTGTCCCAGGAGGCTTCCCAAGGCACCATGTAGGCTTTTACCAAAACTATTTTATCTAAAATAATATGCTAAGATTCATTGCCCCCTACACTTATTTCCTCCTATATTATTTTTATTCCTGGCTTTGAAGTTTTTTTACTGAAAAAAGTTAAATTTACCCACAAATTATGTGTGGATATCTATAAAAATTTTTGTAATTTAATATTTTTATTTGCTGAATTCATAAGAGCTGTTTTAATTAAAACTAAAATTTTGGGTGGATTTGAAAGTAGAATAATGGTTACTAGGGGTTTGGTGATGGAAAAAAATGGTTGGACCAAATCTGTGCATATATGCACATATAAAAACACCATACTGAGCTCCATTAATATATATAATACTTGTTAAAAATTTTCTTTGAAGAATTATAGTTTTTGGAAGCAAAATGAAATAGTCTCTTAAAAACTAGATAGTGAGTTGAGGTAAAGAACACAGGTCTGTGAGAACTAAAAATGGAAATATATGTATGTGTATGTGTATGTGTATATGTAGATAAACAGGAATATTCTTTTTGAAATGGTGTGGGGTAAATGTACAACTAAAACATAGTAGTTTCACATTAAGAGTCTCCTGAAAGAACTATTGTGTTCTTCACCCATAGACAAGCATCCCTGCAAGTACTTTCAGTCAGGAGCCCGTCAGGAGGATTGCTCTTGCCAGTTCTCAGTGTCACCCAAGGAAGTGCTGCCCTTCACCTTCCCATCCTACAACCCTCCCCAGGACTCCAACGAGCTGGTGGGTGCCATGCTGCTGTGGGCGGGACCGGCACTATCCCAGGGCTGTTGGGCAGGCTGCTGGGGAAGCCCTACCTCAGTCACTTCCCCTCCACCAGAGGCTTCAAGGCCAGTGGCGGGTAATTGTGACCTGTGAGAAACCAGGGATCATCTACCGGCCAACACCTAGGGAACCTGGTACACCTGTGCAAAGCTTCCTGCCAAATTGGCCTAGGTCCTTCTCAGTCTGTAACAGGGCCTGAGAGCAAACAGGCAGAGAAGAAGCAAGTAGGCCCCCATACTCCAGAGGCAGAATCCACTCCACTGAGCCTTCTACTGCCTCCCAGAAGGGAGGCCAAGAAAGGGTCTGGGTCAACCGAGTAAGGAAGGGATGTGGTGCCAGAATCTGATAGGCTAACCCATCCATCTTGGTCGATCAGAGTCAGTCTTCTCTCTCTCTCTCTCTCTCTCTCTCTCTCTCTCTCTCTCTCTCTCTCTTTCTGAAACTTATGGACACAATTATTCATTATAACAAAAATGATAGTTAATAGTTAATAATAGTTAACCCTTACATTGCATATAAGGTCTTAAGTATTTCAGATTTATCTACCACCCATTTAATTTTTAGCAAGCCTATATGATAGGTTTATCATTTTAGATATGGAAAAACTGAGTCACAAAGTCACATAACCAATCATAAAATATTGCTCGTTTGCAAAGTTAGTACTAAAAAGTGTGCTTAAATCATTATTATGAATTCATATGCAAAATAACCTTCTGATTTCAAAGAATAAACTTGCCATTCATATCTCAAAATATTTATGAAAGATTGTTGGTTTATCTACTCAAGAAACACAGGACTAAATTTAGAAGTTCCATATGTTTTCTGCTTTGGGTAATTAAAGGACTTAAAAGATTAAAATTTTTGGTTCCTAGGAAATAATAAATCTGATCTTCATGCAATAATAAGTATCTGACACCAAATAATTGTGGTGAAATGAGATCATCACTGTGCCACAGAGCCCACCTCATTATTTGTGAATAGGTGAAAACTAATGCAGTTTCTTTTGGTTTTTAGATAGTGCTATTAAGGCTTCTTTGCTGTTCTGGGTTGATGAGAAATAGCATGCTGTGCATTTCTATTAAAATACTCAGCTGTATAATTTATTTCATAAGTACGGTATTTCATCCATTCCAAGATGCACTTTATTTTACATTCAGCATCTTTGAAATTGGGAAATTTCCTTACAAATAATGGCTATTAATATAGGATACTATTAATTGAATAGTGATGTCCCAGACTCAGTGAAGTATGATATTTATCAAGTGCCCATCATGTGCCAGGCCCTGTCCCAGGTTCTCTGAGTGTCAGAGGCAGATGAGCATGCAAGAAGGGCTGTAGGGACAGCACCATGCAAGGCCAACACAGGGAACAGAACTGAACAAAGATACAGCACTGCAGTCTGTCTTGGCAAAGGCTTCAGCTGAGCCTGAGAGGAGCTCTGAGAGGACCTGGCCTCAGTACTTTGGCTTCACACTGTTGCTGGAAGCAGCTGGTGGGGAAGGGCATGTGGCCTTAGTGAGGTGTCTCCTGGAAAGGTCTGACTCCCGGCAGTTGTTTCCATCATAGAACTACAAACAGCTGGAGAGATGAGTCCTTCAAACCTGAGAGGAGTTCTGGGTAACACACTGCAACCTGTGATAGTACATGGTAAAAAGATTCACAGACACTCATGGGCACCACTAGGGTGACTTTGTGTCTCACAGATTCAGCAGCAACTATGGTTATGAGAAGGGCTGCTCTGAGATTGGAACTGTTCACCTAATGTTTCAAAATGCAACAGAAGTATAGTTATTTTTGCTCAGTTGATTGTTCATTTTTTTTCTAATTTTCACATTTTAGGCTCCTGATGGTCTTGGACTGGTCCCAATTAAGCCTTTGGATGTACAGATCAAGCAGAGTTATTCCTTCTTCAATTTGAAGGTCAGACTTGTCACATAGCATTAATTATTTGGGTATCTTATGAATTGAGTTTGAATTGCATTAACACCTATTATGGATTATAATGAGTGGCATATGGTATATTTCTGTTGTTGTTACATGGCATGTTGGAAGTACCCCAGATTCTTTTTCTATAATGTGGCTATAGAAACCAGGGTCCTCTTGGGCATACTAAATAGTATGCATACATGAAGTACCTTGACTCCATCTATTGGGAAATTCAAGACAAACTGAAGTGACCACAAAGTAGTCAGCCTTTCTTGAGGTACACAATCATTTCCATTCTTGAATAAATAAAGTTGTGCAGAATTAAAAAGCAGTTATGAACACTGATGTGTGCTGAGTCCCAGAACAGAGCTCAGAACTGGCTGTACTGTCTGTCCAGTGCATCCAGACCAAAAATCCAAACTAACAGTTGCCACACTCCTATGGCTATAGCTGTGGTTGAGAAGTAGACCTGACCAAATGGTAATGGATTTTTCCAGACATTCAGTCAGTTGTTTTCATTTACCTCTAGGTTCCGCAGCTGTACAAAATTAAGGGTTACCAGCCATTCTCTGTCCATGCGTCTTCAACCAGTTATAAATCTCAAAAGCTCGCACGGACCCTGAAGCAAGGAGCTGAGGTGATACATCCCTACCTTCAAGAACAGCTCTCACCTTTCCCCTCCTGTCCTGGCATCAAGATTTACAGACTGTTCTTGGTGCTTAACAGGATGAAGTCACCACCTTCATAGCACTGCCAAAACAGAACCCAACATCTCAACTCTCTGGCAAGTCCTCAATATTGAGTATGAAACCACCTGAGAGCTTGGCCATGTCCCCACACTATGACCCACTTTATGTCTTTGTAAGTAACAATTGGCAGAAGGTTTGTATTCATTGTTCCTTTAGCTCCGTAGTTATCCTATAACAGCGATGGCAAATCTTTTAGCACTTTCAGTAATAACAAATAGCCTGCCGCAGCATGTGTGCCATAGGTTTGCCACCACTACACGAAACCAAAACATTAACTGGAAATTTTTCTTTTTGTATTATCAAGTGTTAAACTATTCATCATCTTCAAAATTGCTTGGTGTTATTTAATTGTCTGGAAAATACTAGTGTTTCTGTCCCATAACAATTCCAGCATTTATTTTTATCAAAATATGATCTTTTCTACTTGTATATGACATGTACATATAGGCTGAGGAAGAAATCAAGAGAAATTACAAAGTACATTTAACTGAATGAAAATGAGAAAAAACAAAAATTTGGTGGAAAATTGATTGCACTATATGCCTATGTTAGAAAAAATCTCAAATTAATATCCTATGTTGACCCTTTAAGAAATTAGAACAACCATTAGCCAGAGCAATTAGACAAGAGAGAGAAATAAAAGGAATAAGGATAGGAAAGGAAGAAGTAAAACTATCACTATTTGCAGATGACATGATACTTTACATGGAAGACCCCAAAAACTCCACAAGAAGACTCCTTGAATTCATCAACAAATTCAGCAGTGTAGCTGGATACAAAGTCAACACCTAAAAATCAATAGCATGCAAGAAGGGCTATTCTATACACAAATAACAAACAGACTGAGAGAGAAATTAAGGAAACCATACCTTTCACAATAACAT